AAAAAAAAAAAAAAAAAAAAAAACAGACACACACACATTCCACAGTGATCAACTTCTCTCAACAAACTTCAGCTACCAACCTCTTTACACCTTAATTTATCGCCGCCGTCCACCGGCAGCAACCGCCGGCAAGTCAACAAGTGTAAAACTCGACGAGTTCCTCCGTCGACCCCAATTGGGTTGCGGCATTTTCCAACATCCACAACAAATGTTCAAACATGACCACTTCACAAGAGACGACCACTGCGCCGTCGTTGTCAGACATTGACTTATCGACCAACTCTTGAAATAGAGGGTGTGCTATGACATCTAAGCTGACAAAATACGGACGTCGAGACTTACCGACGTAGACCGTGTGAAGCTCCTTAGAGATGTCCTCGCCAATATTGGCACAGTTGCTCACAGCAGCAACCGACACGGAGCTAGAGCTCCGACCGAGCTTGGAGATCGAGGGCCATCGTTTAATGGCGGACTTGAGCTTGGTGAGAGTTCCTCCAGCTTTGACCATGGCTTGAAATTGTAGAGAGAGAGAGAAGAGAGAGAGGGGTAGAGGAGGGTGAGGGAAAGAGAAGGGGAAGCTTCGTTATATAAAACAATGGAAAATTGGAAGAAGAGAAGAAGAGCTACGTGCATGGCCCACGCATTTTTCTGGTAAATATAAAATGGCAAAATATTAAATTAAAAAAGAAAAATAAATTATATTTAATTTAATTTAAATATTTATTACAAAAATATTCCATTTTAATTAATTAATTACACATAATTAGAATTACGACATAATCATCCGCATACGTACCAGGTTTCGACGCGTGCAATGTTTCCACTTTCACCAACTTTATTAATAAATTAAAAAAATGATAAATTAATAAAATAGCTATAAATTTGATATTTTATCTAGAAAAATATTAAACGGTAAAATATTGAATTTTAATTTTTTTTATTAATACCTTTCGACTTAAAAAAAAATTCAAAAATGCATTTACTTCAGTATTATATTTTAAATACCCGTAAAATTTTAAACGTACTATTAACACCCTTTTACCTTTATTAACAAAAATTAAAAATTTATTTTTGTCTATATATGAATGGAACATCGACACCTTATAAATTATTTGCAAATGTCTTAATGTTACACGGGAAAGTTCACGGGTATTTTTGAAATAAAATATTAACAATTTTCATCTTTTTTTTTAAATATTTTTGAAACATTATACTATTTTCATTAATTTAGCCTCCTAAATTAATTAATATATTAATCAGTTGAGTCGTATTAACTACATCTATTATATCTTTATAATTTATAAATCATAATTTAATTTCAATGATGCGATTAATGTTAACAAATTTCTCGAGTAACTTATACAGTTGTTTTAATTCTTCTTTTCACAATTTAAACTACAATTAAACTACAATTGTTCATATGATACGATGACTCGAACAATTCGAATTAGTAAATCGTGTGTTCAAAACTAATTTAAACGTAATTTTCATAAAAATAGGGGGTGTTAGGAGAAAGTGATGAAGATTAGGAGGACTAAATTGAAAAAAAAAAAAAGAAAATTTATTTAGAGAGAGAAAAAAATGGGGGAAAAGAAAAAGGGACAAGAGAGGGAAAATGCCAGTGAAGACACAGTTGTCGTTGAAAGGGCATTAAAAAAATAAAAACAGGGATTATTATATTATATTAACAAATATTTAAGCATATCAAAATGTCAGAAAAAGGAATCATGCAAAGAAGAAAAAAATAATTTTTTTTTTTTAAATTCAAATAAAAATAGAAATTAAATAATTGGTAATCTGCGAATGCCATCCAGCTTTTAAAAATACGTTTTTGATTTAAAAAGAAAAAGAAAAAGAAAAAGAAAATATTTATTTATTTATTTAATTTTTTGTGTTTTGTTATTTGCCTCCTCAGCTTTTCATTTTCCCAACCAAACATCTTTAAAATCCATAGTCTTTTTCTTGTCTTGTCTCAGTAACACATTAGTGTCTCTTTCAACCTTTAATGAATATGGGATCTTTCTCCCAATTATTGGCATTTACCGGTCAACCCCTTGGTCAATTTTACTACCACACATCAAAATTCAATGCAATTCAATTTTTATTGTCTTCTTGTGGTTGCGTTCCTCTAACCATACGGTGCCGGGCCGATACCGACAGAAGAAAGTTATGAGAAAGTTATGGTGTTAGTGTAACAGTCCAAACCCACCACTAACAAATATTGTTCTCTTTTAAGGACGCTTATAAAGAATGCTTCGTTCTCTTTTCCAACTGACGTGGGATCTCACAATCCACTTTTTTCGGGGCCCAGCGTCCTCACTAGCACTCGTCTCTCTCTTCAATCGACGTGTGAACTCACAGTCGGTCTTTTCGTATTTTCTTCACTCTTATAAAGATTGTTTTGTTCTTCTACTTAACCAATGTGGGATCTCACAATCCACTCCTTTACCAAGGCCAGCGTCTTTGCTGGTACTCATTCCCTTCTCTAATTGATGCGGGATCTCACTTCTCTCCAGTGGGTCGACCCCCTTACAAAGCCCAGCGTCTTCGTTGGCACTCGTTTCTTTCCCTAATCGATGTGAGATCTCACTTCTCCCCAGTGGGCCTACCCCCTTACAGGGCCCAGCGTCCTCGTTGGCACTCATTCCCTTCTCTAATCAATGTGAGATCTCACTTCTCTCCGGTGGGTTTACCCCCTTACAGGGTCTAGCGTCCTCACTGGCACTCGTTTCCTTCTCCAATCGATGTGGGATCTCACTTCTCCCCAGTGGGTTTACCCCCCTTACACGGCCCAACGTCCTTGCTGGCACTCGTTCCCTTCTTCAATCGATGTGAGATCTCACTTTTCCCCATTGGGTCTTTCCGTGTTACTACACTTCAAATCATTTTGTTCATCATTTCGGAAGAATTTCAAACACTTTCTAGTGCGTGAGACACAAGTACGCACTCGTTCCTTTCAACATTTGACAGGTCCTAAACCCAACACTATTCTCTTACGTACTTACGCGTTGTATCACTGACATAACGATAAGATCGATAAGATTTCAGTTCCGTGTAAATTTCAAACAAAAAATACTCGAATTCTCAGCTCCATAGCTAATCATAGAGAGCTGCCTGTCACTCCAATACAAAAGACAATGGATGGTCCAAATGAAGACGACAGAAAAATGAACAAAAACAGAAAAACTTGAAAGGATCTATAAGAGTAATCTGTGACAAGTTGTTATCCAATATACAATGTTGTAAACTCCTCGCTTTCCTTTTAAGCTTTTCCTTTGTTTTCTTTTGGTAGCTACCTAACAAAAGCCTTCTAGTCCTTATTCTGTGTTTGGTGAACCAACTTTACAGCTCGGTCCCAATACAATAGATTGGATCGTTTCGGTTCAATCATTGCACTAATTATCATGTCGAAACAACAACGATATCGAACCCATATATAATCAGAGATTGCAGCTCAGAATCTTGTAGATTGATCAATCAGTAATATGGGGTTCATGAATATGATAGAAACAAACAAAAACTTCACCATGATCTTTAAGATGTGCACACAAGTTGAGACAAAGTGGATTAAATATAATTTTGAAACAGAATTGTTTAGCGAACCTGATGTTGAAAGCCAACACCCCCACATGGTGTTGTTGTTGATTCTTGTGTCGATTCGAGCCGAAATGAATGTAAACAATGCTCGTTTCTGTCGTTTTTTTGTTTACCAACCGAACCCAATCTCTCCTCCTCTTCCTTGCCCTTGAGTTTGGCTTCGACTTCGTCTTCTCTTTAGTAGACTTGTTTTTTATGAACACCGTTCTTGTTCATCAAGTGCTCGTAATCTTCGAGGCTTGCAAATGATGATGTTTTGTTTTCCACTCTTTGTCCTATGTCGTCGTCACTGCTAATCACTGATGTTATGAACCAAGTCTTTGTTGTCTTCATTGGTAACTTGATCCAAGTCATCGTAGACGTAGTCACCGTCTCGATTTCTTCATTTTCAGTCTCATCCCCACCAACCATGTCAATGTCGAACAGATCTTCGGCAGCATTGTCGTTGTCGTCAGACTCACCGACCAAATCATCAGCAGCCTCCTCTTTTTCTTCTTCGTTTTCTTTGAGGAGTTCATGCAAGATCTTTTGGGGGCACATCCTCTTCAGCTAATGACAATATTTCTGGTCCAATTAAATGGTTGTTCATGTCAAGCTGATAGAAACAAAATATGAGTCAGCTACCTAATTCGGATAACGTTTGTGCAGTCGCTCAAAAGAGATAACGAACACGAAAACGTCACGAGCAAAAGATTGTATAACGAACAAAAAGAAAAAGTGATAACGATCAATATTTCAGTTCCAAAATAAAACGAAAACTGGGCTTGCCTTTGAAGAGTTCATAGCAGCTGGAAGTAATAACTTCGAGTACAGAGCACGGAAGAAGCGGTCACTAACAACTTGATTCTTGGACGATACTTTATGAGATGGATTATGACTCGAGTTCTGAGACAATTGGATCATTATCCATAAATAATGCAAAATAAGCACTATCAGAACTTGAGTCATAATCCATCTCATAATCAATCATCCAAGCTGGTCTGTTTCTTGTTCTTGGATTTCTTTGATCGTAATTATGATCTTCGGTTTCCAAAATTTAATAAAGATTATAGTTAACTAATTTGCTTCACAATCTTATATAAAAAGTTATAGCAAAGGGGTCTGAGCTAAGGTCTTCCATAAACAATTTCAAAGAGTATGGGAAGTAAAATATACATACAACGTGATACTTGGCTCGTAACCCCAAACGAGGCCGAAAAAGAGAAGAGTCCACCTCGTCAATTACCACAGCCTATACAAAAGAATGAGTGAAAAACATGGAGAAGATTATGTAAAAAAGCTTTATATAAGAACCGAATCAAGGTAATGCAAGGTGGAGTGAACCAAAAAGCTCGGAACGGACCAATCTTCCGTACCGCCTGGAAGAGCTATTTATGTGGTCTCACTTGACTTTACCACCATCTGAAATGTGCGGATAGGTTTCCACACCCTTATAAAGGTGTTTCGTTCTCCTCCCCAACCAATGTGGGATCTCACAATCCACCCCTCTTCAAGACCCAGCGTCCTTGTTAGCACTCATTCCCTTCTCCTATCGATGTGAGACCTCCCATTCCACCCCCTTTGAGATCCAGCGTCCTTGTTGGCACACCGTCTCTTGTCTACCCCCCTTCGGGACTTAGCCTCCTTGCGGGCACATCGCCCGGTATCTAGCTCTGATACCATTTATAACACCCCAAGCCCACCACTAGCATATATAGTCCTCTTTGGGCTTTCCCTTTCGAGCTTCCTCTCAAAGTTTTTAAAACACGTCTACTAGGGAGAGGTTTCCACACCCTTATAAAGGGTGTTTCGTTCTCCTCCTCAACCGATGTGAGATCTCGTATTAACAAACAAGAACGAGACGTCCCACTCATAAATATATTGAAGTGCAAAGTACCTTTGCTTCAAGCATTCCTCCCAATACCAAAATAGTAAGAGAGAGTGTCCATCTTTTGAAGATGATTA